ATCAGATGGTATTTGCCAAACCTGTGAAGCTGGCTTTTACTCGTAAGGTGGTACTACTTCGTGTTCAAAATGTCAAGTTAATTACTTTTCTACAATTGGAGTAGTTCTTGTACCCCATGTAGTTCAATGTGTAAAACATGTGATTCCACGAAAGGGAATTGTCTGAGTTGTCATGAAAATATGTTTCTTTCAAATGGTGTTTGTGAGAGTTGTCCAACTGGTCAATATTTAAGTCCAAATGGTTGCGCAAGTTGTGCAGAACAAACTTATTCTCTTGTAAATAGTTCGATGTGTATGATTTGTTCTTCATGTGTTAAGTGTGATCAAACGAATGGGTATTACACTTTATGTAAGAATGGGCAGTTTGTTAACGATTATAGTTGTGATGATTGTGAAGCTGGGACGTATGGAGATGGCGCCAAATGCATTCCTTGCCAAATAGGAACATATTCAAATTTACCAGGGAGTGCCAGTTGTACACCATGTAGTGAAGGTTATTATACAAATACAACGGCTACAACTATGTGTACAAAATGTAACTATAATTGCATTTCATGTGAAAGAGAAAGTGGATTCTGCTCTTCGTGTGTGCCTGGCTGTATTTTATCAGAAAACCGCTGCATTCCATGTGATGCTGGAACAAGAGCAAATCAAGAAACAAACACATGAGATGTCTGCCCAACAGGAACTTATTCAATAAGTCAATCAACGTACTGTACACCTTGTGAAGATGGTTTTTATTCAACAAAAGGATCGTCAAATTGTATGTCATGCAGTTTAACATGTGACAAGATTAATGGAAATTGCACAACTTGCATCTCTGGGTATGGATTGGATGAGTCGTTTAATTGTAACATTTGCTTACCTGGAACGTATGCAAATGCAACAAACAACAAATGCCAACAATGTGACAACAAAATGTATCAGTCAAATGAAGGACAAACATATTGCAATTCATGTGATATCAAGTGTGAAACGTGTGATAATATCAGTGGCAAGTGCCTGACGTGTTATGCTGGATATGAATTTACGGGCAATGCAAACTGTGAGATCTGTGTTGATGGGTATTATTCAAGTGGTGGTACATCATCGTGTTTGCCATGTCCAATTGAGTGTGTAAACTGTTATAGAGAGAGTGGTGTGTGCACTTCATGTCAATCTGGCTTTAAACAAGTTATAAACCAAACACTGGAAACGAAGAGTGTGTCTCGTGTTCATTAAACGATAATTGTGCCTCATGTGGTGTAAATGCAAACGAATCTGAGAAAAGTGTGTGAATGTGTTAGTGGGTATTACTTAAAAAATAACAACTGTAACAATTGTTTACTAATAACAAACTGTGTTCAGTGCTGACCAAAAAGTAATGAGTGTTTGACATGTTCTGATGAATATATTACTGTTGGTGAAAAATGTATATCGTGCGAAGAAGGCAACGTGAAAGTCACTTCAAATAGGTGTATGAGTTGTTTTGATTTAATTCCAAATTGTCAACTGTGTGAATATAACAATGAAAATAAATTGTGTACAAAATGTTATGCGCCTTATATTATTGATAATGATAAATTTATGTGTGTTCTTGCATATTCAAACACAACACATTTTAACTCAGAAACATTAAAAAGTGATGTTAATAATGTTGGTTGTCTGCATCAAGTGATTTATTTTTGTTTTATGTGTGATGAAAACCACATTTGAGTCGATGGAAAATGCATTTTTAAACAAGATGAAAGTTGCTTTGATTATTCATTGAAAACTTGCGACAACTGTTCTAAAAATGTCATCACAACAAACGTCAATTGTTCAATTGAAAGTATTTGCAAATACCAACTCACTCAAAATGACAAGACTTCTTGTTTAATCTTTAAAAATGACACACAAGAAGGCATTAAAGTCAATAACTGCAAATACACTCAAAACGAGTTTTGTTATTTGGTAAATGATGGGTTTTACACGACACTTAATATCAATGGGGAAACTATAAGTTGTGATAATGCAAAGATTTGCCAAGTAATTGATGGTGATAAAATCGATATATCATGTAAAAGTGAATTTGTATTAAAATTAAACATGTTGTGTTCACAAGACACAAACTGTGTTAATAATAGTGGAACTGTGTGTACAACATGTCAACAAAACCATCACATTGCAAAAGGTGGATGTGTTTCCAATGACAACGAGTGTGTGATTTAAAACAAAGGAATTTGCATTTTATGTAACAACAAAATAATAAATGTAGATGGGAAATGCGTTTCAACCGATTCAATCAACTGTAAAGAGTTCGTTAGTGGTGTTTGTACTCAATGTGATGACGATCATTACAAAGATACGACTGGGTGTTTGCCAAAACAAGAGAAATACCCAGACTGTGAATATGTGAGTGTTGTAATGTCGTCGTGTTTGGAGTGTAACAAATCATATCTTCTTGTTGACAATTCATGTGTTGACAATGATACCAACACATCAAAAGCAAACAATTTACAATTAAAAAGTGAAAAAAACAACAGACAACTGCATGTTGAGAAGTTCAAAATGGTGTTTGAGGTGCAGTGATGGGGATTACATAATGAACTCATTTTGTGTGAGATGTGAGTACTCATGCACACAATGCTCGAATTTGACGTATTGCACAAAGTGTGATGCGTACTCGTACACCAAAAATGGCAAGTGTTTTGAAATCAATAAAATACTAAGTACCTGTGATGTAATGATGTCGACATATGAAGGGTGTATTTTGTGCAAAGATGGGTACATGCGATAAAGTGATGGCAAACAATGTGTTAGTTGTGACACGTCGTGTGCAACGTGTTCCAATGATGGTGATTGTTTGGTTTGCAGTAATGGATATTACAGAACACCAAACAACAACACAAAGCTGTGCAACTTACAAACAGAATTAAACAACTGTTTGAATACAACGACGAGTGGTTGCACACTACGTGAAGGTGGTTTTGCACCAAAAGATAATTTATGTCACAAATGTAATGAAAACTGCACATACTGTGATGACACTTTTGAGTATTTAAAATGTGGTGATAACAACATTTTAAAAGACGGCGTGTGTGTTCACTTCTCTTAAATACTAAACTGCATCTCATCGCAAAATTCATTTTGTTTGGAGTGTGCAGATGGCTACAAGTTAAGTGACGACAAAATTGAATGTTTTATAAACACGAATTATGGTATCGTTGTTGGTCTTCCAATTGTGTGTGTAATTGTATATGTTGTTATAATTGTCACAATTATAACAATTATTGTTTTGTTTGTGTTGAGAAAGAAAGACAACAAACACACTGAAAATATTTGTGTCTTCAAGATGAGTCGCTCCAACATTGTGATGACGCAACTTGAAGGCGACATTTTATCAAACAAAAATGAGATTTCATTTGGTGATGAAAGTGACAAAATACAAATTGAAAGTCGCGAATTGTTGTGTGTTGGCAATTCGTCTAAAAGGTAATGTGAAAATTCAAATCACAACAAAAGGCAAATGCGACAAATACACAATTCGCACAGAACCAAAAATAGTGACTTTAAAGAGCGGATTTGCTTGCGAATTTGAAGTCTTTATAACACCATATTGCACAATGGATTTGAGTGACAAAATCATGATCGTATCACTTGATTTACACAGTGGTAAACAAAACACGACTTTAATGAACATCAAAGCACTGGTGGAACAATCAACACGTTTTGATTACGACGAAATCAAAACAGAAAAGAAACTTGGTGAAGGCTCTTTTGGAATTGTCTACAAAGTAACTTACAGAGGAAACGTTGTTGCAATCAAGAAGATGAAACAAGTTGACAACTCAAATGATGAAAATGCAGTGTTTGAATTTACAAAAGAAGTTGAAATGTTGGACAAGTTTCGCAGTGAGTATATAGTCCACTTCTATGGAGCCGTGTTCATTCCAAATAAAGTGTGTATGGTCACCGAGTTTGCACATTATGGGAGTTGTCAGGACTTGATAAATCACAACAGATCTGATGAGGTTAAAATGAAAATGCGAGTCAAAATGATGTTGGACGCATTAAGAGGAATATCATATCTACATGAAAATGGGATATTACACAGAGACATCAAGCCAGACTACATTCTCGTCTTTTCACTTGATTTGAATGATAAAGTTAATGCTAAATTGACTGATTTTGGAAGTAGTAGAAATGTTTATATGTTGATGACTAATAAGACTTTCACAAAGGGTATTGGTACACCAAAGTACATGGCGCCTGAAGTGCTGAAAAAGGAGAAATACACTAAAAGTGCCGACATTTATTCATTTGGTGTAACTATGTATGAAGTGTTTGGGTAATGTAAAGCGTATTTACTTGACACATTTAAGTTTCCATGAAAATAGCCGAGTTTGTTATGTCGGGAAAACGACTTGAAAAAGAAATGATATTCCAGAAACTCTGTTTAAAGCGATAGAAATGTGCTGGGAACAAGAAAAAACGAATAGAGTATCTATTGATAGAATAGTTAATTTACTTGCTTTGTAATTGTTTTATGGTTTAATTGTTGAGTTGTATGAACATGAATAATATAAATGTCGTACCAAAGTGTCAAAATTAAATTTTGAAACCAAAAAGAAGAAATAAACATGGGACAAATTAAATTTACAAACGAATAAATAAGGTTCAGTAATATTATTTGAAGTATTATAACCCAAATAACTTATTAACTATTTTATACTCTCCAGAAGATTTACTATAAACTGAATGCAAAATTTTCGATTTTTATTTTTTATTGTATGAGATAAGTGATGTCTCACATATAAAATTAGATAACAACTTAAACGTGTTAGTGACACAAAGTCTGCATACAACATAACAAAAAATGTTATTTTTCAGTTCATCGTGCAAAGTTGTTTTATTCATGTGATGAAAGTGCAAAAGACAACGTTTTGAACAAACTTGGTGTGATTCAGACGTTTATGGATAAGTCAGAGGTCGGTCCCAATATCAAAATTAACGAGGAAAATCAGATGAACGAGTTTTTCGTGTTACCCACAAAAAAACCAATTACGTTGTGATGTCCTTCAACTTCCTTAAAATGGTCATCCATTCGACGCAAATTTAAAAGCGCTTTTTGAAATCATCGAAAAGAATTTTTTTGTGTGTGGAACAAAATGTGAGTTGAAGGAAGAGCGTATGACGGGTCGTTGAGTTAACAAACGAATGGGAATGTATGTATCACTTTATACAAAGACCCACACATTTCTAAAACATCCAATATTTCCGAAAAATTCCACAATTTTGTGAAACCCTAAAAATGAGTGAGGAGGAAATCGAACAGTTCATTGTTTGGCAGTGTACGATGCGCCTACAAATCCACAAATTTTCTTTGAATATTGTGTGGAAAAGGAAGTAGGGAATTTTGTTGAGAATTTTAATGAATTGCGAGAACAATTGTTTGGTGTTATACTCGAGAAAATAAAGGAGAAAATACACGTGATAACAAAGGGTTTACAAAACGCGGTTTGTTGTGTTGCTGGTAATAAAAATCAAATTGAAAGGGCTGGCGAGAAGTTTGAACACATTTTTAACATATTTAAGACAAAATGATTTGATTTTTTTGTTTGTTTATTGTAACAGTTGTTTATGTTGAGTTTTTTGCTAAGATTTTGTCATTTTTTATGCTCATTAATAAACTTATAAATGTCTTACATTCTTTTTTACTTCTTTTTCATTTTTAAAATAGTTTTTTAAATAGTCGTTTTTTTCAAATTCCATTGTTTTCAAACCCATTTTTTTGTCACTATAAAATCTATTTTCCTCTTCATTTGTATCATTCTTGTTGTATTCAAAATAGTTTTTATATTTTCCTTTTGTTTGAATGTTTGTAAAAATGGATTTTTTAGTATTATTTTTAGAAGTCGTTTTTAAATATGTATTAAAAACATTGGGAAACATTTTTCAAAATATTTTTTTATTGTATATAAATATTGCGTTTGGTGTAAGTCGCGATAATAAAATATTTCAATACGATGAACGTTGCTCAATTTTGTCAACATTTTTCTTAATATAAAGTATAATAGTTTTTGTAATATTGTTTTTGATATACACCTTTTACCTCGCATAAATGAACTCACTTTTTAAGCTTGATATTAAAAACAATAATATCACATTTTGATTATCATGGTTGTTTCCAATAATTTAATATTAAATTAGTATTTCAAACGACTTATTAGTGTTTGATGCATTTTCAACACACATATTTAAATACATAAAAGTCAATACAACAAATAAAGTGTGTTTTTTTATTTTTTTTCCATTTTTTAGTGTTTGTTTACAACATTAAGCATATTTTAACTTTTATATTATACGCATAAGTTGCATAAACACGTCTATATGTCAAAATTTGATATCCACTTATGATATAAGACTTAATAGTTACGGTCGAAAGTTAATTGATCAAAGACTGTATTTTAATTGATTCAATATAACACTTTCATTTATAATGATATTAAAAATAAATAATACCAATGATGTCCCTATTTTTATATTTGATGATGTATGGAGAGATTTATGTATATATAATTTTTGACATTTTTTGTAATAACACAAAAATTTCAATTTTCAATACGATATTTTGTTTTCCTTATACTCTCGCTTCAATTCGGAGCAAAACTTGTGTGTTTTTTGAAATCTGAAAAATAATTAAAATTACTTTGCTCGCCTTGTTGGCACGATTGATGACCTTTTTTGATATTGTTTAAATTATGTACATGATCAATGTATTACTTGATCATACATTTAATTAATATGTTAAATTTTATTGTGAGATACAAGTGAAATTATATATTGTTAGTTAAGGCGTATTGGAAAGAACTACTATATTAAAATCAAGTACAAACATACGTATTCATTACAGACAATGAACTATTTAATATTATTAAATGAAGTGTTTCATATTTAAAAATTATATAAGTGATATGAAAATAAATATGCAATTATTTAAAATATAAAAAACTGTGTTTAAAAATCCACAAAAAATGTATTTCATTCAAGGGTATTTATTCAATTTAAAATAGTTATGATTTGTTATTTGATTGCTGTTTTATATTAAATTTGTTGTTTCAAATGTAAAAAACAATGGTTTATATATTAATGTTTTCAATTTTTGACATGTGTTGTTTAAAATAGATTGTTTACCAAACAAATATAATAAGCTTAAAATAACATTTTATATTATAATTTTAATATAATATTATTATATTATAATATAATTAATGTTTTAAAAACAATTCAACTCAAACAAAGATGAAGATTACAACTGAAATGACGTGTTGTTTGTTTTTTAATTTTAGAAAAAAAAACATGTTTTAATAATATTAATACAATATAATGATAAAATGATTAGTTTTATATTTGAATAGGTATACAATCTTTTGTAATTGACAATTTAATAAACAGAATTGTATATATTTTTTATATATTGTTTTTAAAAACAAAACAATATAAATTAAGAATCTAACACATTGAATGAAATATCCATTTTTCACGATAATATACATGTTATTATTAGGTCTACATTACTATTTAAACTCGAGTCATAAACTAATTTACATCAAATGATTTCTATCATTCTTATCGCATTTGTAGCTCAAGCAGAATATCTTATGACCATGGATAACGAATACATGAATGTCTATCTTCTTGATAAGTGTTATTATACTGGAGGCAACACTTATACTAAATATGTCAGAGAAGACAAAAAAGCCAAAGGTTACACATCAACAACAGGTTGTGGTGATTGGCATGATGATGGTTCTTTTGATCTTAAGAACGGTCAGTCCTTTGTCGATAACCTTCCAGAATACTTAGTTGTTGATTATGCATACATTGATGCTAAAGACTGCAAAATCAAAGAAAGTGAAGCAAGACCAATAGAAACACTTCTTAAATCTGGGTGTATCAAAACGTCAGAAACAACTTCAACAAAAACGGAAATTAAAGATGGAAAGTTCATTAAAAATGATTATGATGCATCCAACAGCTGTACTGGAACTCCATCAAATATCATCAACAAAGATATGGACAAATGCTTCACTGATAAAGATGGCTTTTACCACACCGCCAAAGACTCTGCTGTGACTCTTTCAGCGATCATGGCGTTCGTCTTGGCTCTTTTACTCTAAATTATTTTTAGGGAATAGTTTTTTAAGTGTATTGAATTTTATAATTTTACTAAAAATATAATGAAAAAAATTAATTGAGTTTAGATAAGGGACCTACATTGACCACCACCACATTTACCAAAATATAATATTTGCCGCAAGTGTTTTTTTATAAAAAGTCCACTTTTCAAACACTAATGCGTCCCCATGTCGCCCACTTTCACTGTAAGTAATGTGTGGACGAGGATATGGTTCCACCTCGTTTGCGGGGGGGGGGGGGGGGGTCAGGGGGGATCCGCGCCAAGGGAGGACTTGGAAAGTGGGTGAAACGGTACAAACAGACTGTTCGATTGCGTCTTTATAAACTACTTTTCAATGCTCCGTCTCACTTGGTTTTCACTAACTCGAGGTGAATTTTCGGCATTTTTTGAATTAGGGAACCAGACCTAATATCTTCCCAGTTTCCTATTTACTATAATTTTAATTTGAATATGATTCCAAATAGAAAAAACAAATTTATTTTAAGAGGTGGTTGTCAATGTAGTCCCAATTGTTATAATTGAATACAAAATTTCATTTTCTCTTGTTTCAAATTTATGTTCATTGTTTGTTATAATTGTTTAAATTGACAACAATAGCATTTTCAACATTATTATTGAAATGATTTAACAACTTAAGGAAAGACAAACATATTTCAAAATTATTTATTTGTTCTTTTTAAACTGATATTTTAATTAAATAATTTACAACGTGATTACATTTTCTGCTTTTTAACGGTGTTAGAAGAATTTTAACTTATTATAACTTTTATTAAACTTTTGATTTTTATTTCAAAATGTTTTAACACTTTGAAAACGTAGTTTCACGGTTTTTACTAAAATTTCAATTTATTTTATTAATTCCCATTTTAAACACACACATTTTCAATTTGTCAACCAGAAAATATTCTATACAGACTTTATTATCACTCGGGAATAGAAATTGTAGATTTTTTTAATTATTCTTTGTTTAAAACTTTGTTTATAAATATTAGTATTTAAATATTAATTTTAAATGAATTATACTTTCTTTTGAGTTATACACTTGAAGATTCAGTGGTTTCCGAGTTTTGTTGCATTTTATTGTGTAACTCTTGTCTTTGCATTTCCACTTGCATATTTACTTCTGGTTCATTATTATTTTCTTCACGGTGATCTGCCACATAGTCACTTTGATTTAATTCACTACAATCAAGACCCTTCTTTAAAAACAACACAAATGCATAGATAGTGCAATAGGTATAACCAACAGCAGTAATTCCCAAAGATACAATGCATGTTATGAGATACCCACCATCCGGTCCGATCATTTCAACGCACCCATCACCCTTTGACATGTTAAGTAATTTTGCTGGACAAGTGGTATGTCCTCCCAAGTCTTTACATTTTTCAATATCGGTTGGTATATATTTCACAAATGGGCAGTCTATAAAATACTCAAAATGCTTTTCGTTCATCCGTGTATTTAAACAACACGATGACTGTGTGTCAATCAATTTAATATTATAATTAACAACTTAAATTATTGTTTCATTGTTTACATTAATACCATATATATTATAAATGAATATTTTATTCAAATTATAATGCTAATAAGTGTTTCGAAATAAATAATATAAATATTAAAATGAGTATTTGATATATATTACAAAATAATGTTGTTATTAAAATTATTTAATAACAACTTGTTTTATTGTGTTTAACTGTTGTGTTTGTTTCAACAGTATTTAATAATATCAACAAACTTCGTTTTCAAATTTTATTCTTTTCTCGAAATTAACATCACTCCATTTGAATGGAACCCTCGTCGGGACTGATGCAGACCACCCAAACAATGCAAAGGAAACAACAGAAAAACAGGCACCTGCAATAATTAGAGATATTTGCGAATACTTTTTAACTTTTCCAATGTACTTTGTGAACATGTAAATGAATGGCGGGACTAATAATGATAAGACATATAAAATACACTTTTCAGCCAACCCACCATCACTTATTTTCGAAAAAATGACACTGTAAATTAGTCCCATTGTCATTACAGTGATTAAAGTTATAACGAGGATCGATCCTAAAACAACACTACTTATGAATAATCCCATCGAAGAGACATCTTTCATTGGAAAATACAACTGTGATTTTGTTTTTTTCAAAATTTTTATTGTTATAATAAAAACACTTTTTTGTATTTTTTATAATATTATTAAAAATTAATTTTTTAGTATGGTTTGATTTATTTAAATTATTATTATAATTAATAATTGACTTAATTATGGCTCTTTAGCAATCCCGAAATATATGAAAGAGGGTTTTATAAATTCAACAACACCAATTGTTATAATTTAATACAATTAGAGTACTAAAACATATAAAAAACTACTATTATTTTTTATATAATAATTTTTGAACCTACATTGACCACAACCACATTTACCAAAATATAATATTCGCCGCAAGTGTTTTTTTATAAAAAGTCCACTTTTCAAACAATGTTTGTGCGTCCCCATGTCACCCACTTTCCCTGTCCGTACTGTGTGGACGAGGGTGCGGTTCCACCTCGTTTGCGAATTGGAGGGGGTTAAGGAGGATTTGGAAAGTGGGTAAACGGTGCATAAATAGACTGTTTGAGTGTGTCTTTATGAACTTTTTTCAATGCTCCGTCTCACTCGGTTTCACTGACTCGAGGTGAATTTTCGGTATTTCTTGATTTCTTGAATTATTCCAAATATCTTTCCAATTTTTTATAGCCTGTGATTATAATTTTAATATAATAATAGAAAAAAATAAATTTATTTTAAGTGGAATTAATGAAATTTTTCTCAGTTTCCAAATAAAAACTTTATTATTTGAAATAATATACTAATAACAAGTTTAGTATTTTTTATTTATTTTCAAATACATTTTTAGTATAAATATTCTATTTTATTTTATGAACACTAGGCTTCGCACCCGAGAATTTTCTTATTAAAAATTAGTATCTAAAAAAGCTAATAAAACGGTAAAGAAAAGATGACCCGTTTTAATAACGTTTTTCGATACTAATTTTTGATAATAAAATTCTCGGGTGCGAAGCCTAATGAACACTATTCACATTTGTCGTAAATTATGTTCGATTTAAATGATTTTTGTTTTTAAATGTTAAAACAATTACAGTCATGCGAAAAAGCTGTCACGTTTGGAAAAACCTGTCTTGAAAAAATATTTTATAGTAAATTTATAATTACTTACTATACAGTATAGCTTCTATTCGATTTATTTGCAGGGTCATTTCACAAAAATCGAATAAAAATATTCGGCATTTCCAAATAACATTTTCTATT